CAACACAACTAACAACATCAACAACAACTAACAACTTCAACAACAATTCCAATCTTTTCTCAAATCATAAAAATGAGCTTGGTGTGTGGGGGGAAAGGATCATCCAACACTAAAAACTCACATACCTTGAAAGGGATCACCCCCGACGAAAATCCACGATGATCCTTGACGGAAACTTGTTGATCTCCTCTTTCTTCTCTTCTTCCTCTCCTTCTTCTCTTCTTCTTCACTCTCAAGAACCCTAACTCTTTCTCTTTTAAAATGGGACACCAATGATCCAAAATCAGCCTAACACACAATATAATCCCAAAAGAAATGGCTAGGGAAAAGACCAAAATGCCCTTAAAATTTCCGGACGGATTCCCTGCCAACTACCCAACTTTCACTGGCCATAACTCGCTCATACGAACTCGGAATTGAGCAAACTCAGTGGCGTTGGAAAGGTCATTCCACAAGATTTACAACCATAACTGTAAATACTCCTAAATCATCCTGATCTGGGAGTTACTATTGCTCAAAGTTAGACAAAAACTCACTGATTTCCACACTTAGCCAAATTTTCCAGATTTTGAATTTTTCCAAAAATGACTATTTTCGAATTTCCAAGCTTTTTCATAGTTATTTCAAATTGCCGGATGTTACATCATCCATATGTAAAAGCTATAACTTTCACATTTTTCTCTATGATATTTTAAGTTTCCAAGTTCCATTAATTGTGATCGCATTGCACTATGTGTAATTAGACAGGTTCTTATTGAAAACATTTAGTTGTGGCTTAGTTGGTTAGTTTCCTTCAATATCAACTCTTCTTACAATTTTATTATTGTGCATGTATGTAATATTGTCAAAATGAAAAAGAGGCTTACTATTGACACAATCATGCCACTAACTAAACAGTGAACGAGCAAAATAATGTTTTTCCTTGTAAGTTTTGTTACTACGAACGCCTAAAGAAGAAACTCTTATTTTTAACATTTATTGTTCTAAAAAGGTGTGTGCACTTTCTGTTATATGTGCTGCTTTATGAAAATGTAGAGATGTGTGTTGCTTTTCAAAACCACCTTAAACAAGGAAATGAAGAAACCAAAAGGCTTTGAAAAAAAAAATTCAATTAATCTTGATATTATAATCCATGAAACTTTTACAATGTATTGGCTGGTAAAAGTTAGAATCTCTTTTCCCTGTGATAGTTCCATGCCTTGGCCTCTTCAAAAGAAAACAAAACATTTCTCATGCTACTAGAAAGGACTTCATGCAGGGTAGGGCATATTGTAGTGGTGCTGATCAGTCATTAAGAAGTAAAAACGATAGTTTTGTTGAATTCGTAGTTCTTGGTGGCCTCACTGTTTTATTTTTACAAGTAATGTGTCATTTACTTTCAAGTTACGTTCAATAAAAATCATCTTTACGTAAATTATCATTGTTTCTATTGTCAGCTTATCTACTACAAAATGGATAACAACAACATTTCTTATGTTGTTGTTGGGAAGGAAAGAATATGTGAGTTTGTTGAGAGTTAAATGTCTTGGCCATGTGGTTTATAATGCTTCAGTTATTTCCGTTACATTGTTTGTTGTTGTTTTTAGTGCCTATATTGTCAGAGTTAGATTAAATTATTTATAAATCCTAGACTTGCTAACAGATATATCCTGTGCTGTATAAACTATGCGATTCTGTGCTAACATTTAATCCCTCAATTTTAATGTAACAGGTGATTTTGATAAAAAAAAAATATGGTCCAGAAGATCCAAGCATGAAAGATGCATCTATTTTTGTCTAATTTAAAATAGTATGTAAATGTATGTAATTAGCACTCCCACATATGAAAATGTTAAAACTATGTAAGTATCTCACTTCAACATTCAATAGTATGACATTCACATGAATATATAATGAACAAATTTGGCAGCTATAATGTGTTTAAATTAGTAATTTTTTTCATTGAAATATATTTTAGATCCATTATAAATTATACATCGGGACTGTGCTGTTGCTCATGCCACTACTTTTCTGGAATGTACAGGGAAAGTAGCCACAATGTTTTCTGCCTAACATGTATTCGTATGAGTATAGCATGGCAAATATTAACAATTGAAGAGTATTTAGAAGACACATGTCTGTAGTAAAGTTGTTTCTGTAATGGGAGAAATTAGTTATATAATTGCACTTTGAAGTTCATGTGTTTTAAGTCTATTAGATATGACATTTGTAAAAGATACATATGGCTGTAAAGCAGCATAACTAATGCAATGATCTGTTAACTTTTACACTATATACTCTTATTATGTCATTTAACAACATGAACCATTTATTTCAATTTTATGCCTCAAATTCCCAGGCTGATGTCTTTATTCTTCTCTTAGAAGTCCCTTTTTACCATTTATAACATGTAAATGTCCTGTGAAAAAATTGTATTTAAGCAGCTTGTTCTTTCGCTTTCATTTCTAGACTCCCTCGAAAATTTGGAACCTGTTCTAATAGTTTTTTAGTTTTCTTGTTTTTTTTCTTCTTTCTAAACTCTACATTTTTTATTTTATCATACCTATTCTGCCTGTGTAAAATTAATTATAGAAAGTTGTTTCTATTAAAAAAAATTATTCATTTAATTTTTAAAGAATAACGACACACTGTGCTTTACAAGTAGATTTTCTGTCATGCATTCAATATCTATGTAATAATAATCGATTGCCTTCTTATTATGTATATATTGATAAACTTTGAATAAGGATACTAAATTGTGAATGTTTGCCCAACTTAATATTGAACTAATTGTTGAAACTTGAAAGAAAAATAATAGTGCCTCTCGCTTGTATCTTATTACATGTGGATTCTTTTATCGTGCAGATTAAGAAATGTAATTCGTTACTAAAATTATAGACATTGTATTTTTGAAATTACAGTTATTTAAAAATATTTTTTACCCATGTTGGATTTCAAATATATTTCATAGTAAATCAAACAGAAGCAAAATTATGATAAAATTTTAAACGTTGAACCCGTGTTTAGCACGGGCAATGCTCATCTAGTATTAATAAAAAATAAATCCAACCCTCGCCCAAAATCACCTGAATATAGGTGACTAATTAGGCAAAATGTTAACTAACGATTAGAAACTGTATGTATATTTTATTTTTTAAAAAAAAATAATTGTATGTCTATTACCAGATGGACCCCGTGTTTCCTCATGTATATCTTCTTTTTTTCAAAAAATAAACTAAAATTGAGATAAGATGAACATATTCTAAACAAATAAACATACCCATTATTTTATTTATATATGTAATACACGTAATTATTTCACATCTCAATAAGTTTACTTTCAAAAACAAGTTCTAAAAAAAAAAAAAAACTTCATCAATGGAAGAAGGAAAGTCGAGAAAGCTAGGTGGTTCTCTGAAAGTCCCTAACGTTCAAGAACTTGCAAAGCAACAACTAGCAGCCGTTCCACCACGATATATACGTGATGATATTGAAAATCAATCATATTCTTCCATAGTAATATTGCCTCAAGTTCCAGTTATTGATACGAAAAAATTGCTGGATATTGATGATGATTCGGAGCTCGAGAGGCTTCATCTTGCTTGCAAAGAATGGGGATTTTTCCAGGTTCATTTTTTGTTTTGATGTTACAGAAATGTTGGAGTTGACTTGTTTAGCCATCAACAGTACAACCACTTGCACCCGACAATCTATTATTGTATCGACCATATCTGTTAGTTTTAAAATAAATAAATGTACCTTCGTGTCCCATGATGATATCGATTTTTAAAAAATACATGTGCAGTTGGTGAATCATGGAGTGAATTCATCATTGATGAAGAAAGTAAAATCGGAAATCAGAGCATTTTTCGATCTACCAATGGAAGAGAAGAAGAAATTTGAGCAAGAAGAAGGAGACCTCGAAGGATACGGGCAAGCTTTTGTTGTATCTGAAGAACAAAAGTTAGATTGGGCTGATATACTTTACATGATCATTCTCCCTACTCATTTGAGAAAACCTCACTTGTTTCCAAAGCTTCCAGCCTCACTCAGGTACCATAATATATAACTGAGTTTACGATTAAATATTTAGTGAATCTTTTTTCTTTACAATATTTAATTTCTTGGACTGTCAAGGGATGCATTGGAACAATACTCAACAGCACTGAAGGAACTTGCTATGAAAATTCTATACGTAATGGCAAGAGCTTTAGGGATGAAAGCAGGGGATATAAATGTACTATTTAAACAAGACGGGACACAAATGATGAGAATAAATTATTACCCTCCTTGTCCTCAACCAGAGCGCGTAATGGGGTTATGCCCTCATACTGATGCTATTGGTCTAGCTATACTACTTCAGGTTAATGAAACGGAAGGTCTTCAAATTAAGAAAGATGGTGCTTGGATTCCGGTTCCATATCTTCCTGATGCCTTCGTTGTCAACATTGGAGATATTTTAGAGGTGAGAAATAAGTATATATATGTATGGTGTAACGAAAGACATTTTTCAGCTTCGGAAAAGTTATTTTCTTGTGTTCGGTTATGAGAAAACGTAACTTCTCAATGTTGTTTCATGTGCAGATTGTGACAAATGGAATTTATAAGAGCACTGAACATCGAGCAATTGTGAATGAAGACAAAGAGAGAATTTCGATTGCTACATTTTTGAGCCCCAAATTGGATGGAGATTTAGGTCCAGCTCCTAGCCTCCTCACTCCTCAATGCCCTGCAGAATTTAGGAGGATTGGAGTGGCTGATTACTTCAAAGGATATTTCTCTTGAGAGCTCGTTGGAAAATCATATGTCGATTCTATAAGAATTAGAAATGGAGATGATGGAAGCAATTGATCAATGTTTGCATTTTACGCCCTTGGATACCAACAGCTTGTTTAATTTGGATGGATTTGCTACTGTATTATTTTGTGAATGTATAATGTTTGAATAAATTGTGGCATTTGTTGTGGTTTAATAACATCATTATTGCTTGCTTTTAATGTATCAAATCGTTTATTAGCTAGCTACATGGTTGAATGGAACGATGTGTCCAAGTTCTGCATGCCCCGTGCTACTTGGAGAAGATGCTCAACATCTACTTCAGGGAAATGTGTTACTAATCTGTGTATATAAAAATCAGAATTACTGATTTCAATAAACTTTGCAGAAACACGAAGTAACCAAAGTTTAATAAACCAGTAAGAATAGATGAACAGAAATTAATTGACAAAACAAAAAATCTGTAATAAACGTACCACAATCTGGAAAAAACAGAATCAGAAAAAGATCAAGCCCACTGAATGCACAGTGTCCCCTTAAGGAAATTATTCCCCTCTAGTATCCGAGGTTTGATTTGGAATATGTCCTCCCAGGATAGAATGATCTCAATCACCAGTGTATTGATACCCAAAACGCTGGTGTCAGCGAATCACTCAACAGCAGTAAAGTACACGAAGAAATTTTGTGCAGAAGAAGAAGAAGAAATCAGAAAAATTCGTAAGGAATAAATCTGAAGAATCAATGTATTTATAGGCAAGAGGAACTGGTTCCGAAAGGTTGCAATCCTTTCAGAATCCACACGACCATTCATGAAAGTTTGCAACCTTTCAAACGGTCATGGCTGTTTCTGAAAGTTGCAACCTTTCAGAACAGTCACTGCGGGAAATTTAAATAAAACGGGAAAGATTTAAATAAAACGGGTCGCGCATGGATCCGAGTCGGGTCGGGTTAATTAACTAATTAATTGAATCGGTTAATTAACTAATTAAAACGTTGGCCATTTAATTTAATTTAATTAATTAACTAAAATAATTAAAACAAACTTTGTCCAAAAAATAATCTCTCGATCGATTTTCCAAATCCAAAGCCAAAGCCGAAGCCGAGCCGAGCGAGCGACGACGACGACGGCGCGAGGGGGGTCCCTCTTTCCAACCCTTTTAACGATTAATAGGAGTGTTTCTATATTTAAACTCTCCTATTTTTCTTTCCACCACCGATGAGGGACAAATGTCTTTTCAATGTCTTTTCAATAAAGCATAAGAGGACTTTTCAAGTTCTCAACTTTTCAAGTTCTCAACTTTTTCCAAGTTCCTCTTTCATCTTCCCTCAATTTCCCATTAACTCTTGCTACATACCCAACAATCCCCCACATTAATGGGGAATGGTTATAACATAAGGAATGCACGGACGAGTGTGTACTTTACAAGCAAGAATCAATTGCATCTGGATAAGTAGGTTTCCCCTTGGACTTTCCGTAGTGAACATATGTCGGATATACTCGGTCAATCGGTAGATGCGATATCTTTGAACCGTCGAGCTTTGGTGTATACCTAGACAACCATATGTCACACAATTAACCCTTTACTGTTTATGGTTCTTACGGTTGTGTTCGTTTCAGCCATGAACACCTCCTGGTTTCATGAGTGTATAGAGAATAGGCTTTTGACATAAAATTCTCTTTGAAGCGGCTTACACTTCACACTCACATAGGTGATTTATAACCGTGTCATCTCGTAGATACACTATTTGGTCAAATCTGCCAAACTTTGCAAATCATTAAAAACTTTAAGCTTTATTAACTCATTAACAAGCCTTAAAGTCTTAACCTTGTTCCTGAACATTGTCTTCATCATGAGAATGGATTGAGTTGATTGACAATGTCGAACCGTCAGTCACAACTTTGTTTTTCTCCTTGAATCTAGCTCTTGGGATCTCCAGTCTGCTAGATAGAGTTACCGTCATGCTGACTTGTCCTAAGCCGTAAACCCATTCCCTTAGATGATCTTTCAACTGCCTCTCTCACTAGGCCTTTCGTTAGTGGATCTGACATATTATCGCTTGACTTCACATAGTCAATTGTTATAATTCCACTAGAGAGGAGTTGTCTTACGGTATTATGTCTCCGTCGTATATGACGAGACTTCCCGTTGTACATAACGCTCCCAGCCCTACCTATTGCTGCTTGACTATCACAATGTATGCAGATAGGTCCCACAGGTTTGGGCCAGAATGGAATATCCTCTAAGAAATTTCGAAGCCATTCAGCTTCTTCACCGGCCTTATCTAAGGCAATGAATTCAGATTCCATTGTGGAGCGAGCGATACATGTCTGTTTGGATGATTTCCAAGAGACTGCTCCTCCACCAAGTGTAAACACATAACCACTTGTGGATTTTACTTCATTTGACCCGGTGATCCAATTTGCATCACTATATCCTTCAATAACGGCAGGATATTTATTATAATGCAAAGCATAGTGTTGTGTATGCTTTAAATAACCCAACACACGTTTCATTGCCATCCAGTGAGTTTGATTCGGATTACTAGTGAACCGACTCAGTTTGCTAATAGCACATGCTATATCTGGTCGCGTACAATTCATAATATACATCAAACTTCCCAACACTCTGGCATATTCCACTTGAGAGTCACTTTCGCCTACATTCTTTTGAAATGTAAAGCTTAAATCAATTGGAGTTTTGACAACATTGAAATTCAAGTATTTGAACTTATCCAATACTTTTTCAATATAATGAGATTGAGATAATGCTAGTCCCTGAGGAGTTTTGAGAATCCTGATCCCTAAGATCAAATCAGCAACTCCTAAGTCTTTCATATCGAACTTGCTGGACAGCATGCGCTTAGTAGCATTTATATTGTCAATATCTTTACTCATTATTAACATGTCATCAACATACAAACAAACAATGACTTCATGATTCAGAACGTTTTTAATGTAAACACACTTATCACATTCGTTAATCTTGAATCCATTTGTCAACATTGTTTGAACAAATTTAGCATGCCATTGTTTGGGTGCTTGCTTGAGTCCATAAAGCGACTTCACAAGTCTGCACACTTTCTCTTCTTTACCAGGAACCACAAACCCTTCAGGTTGTTCCATGTAAATTTCTTCCTCCAACTCTCCATTTAAGAAGGCTGTCTTTACATCCATTTGGTGGATTTTAAGATCATGCACTGCCGCTAGTGCTATTAACATTCTAATTGATGTTATCCTTGTTACTGGAGAGTATGTATCAAAGTAGTCCAGACCTTCCTTTTGTCTATATCCTTTGACTACAAGTCTAGCCTTATATTTGTCAATAGTCCCATCGGCTTTCATATTCCTTTTAAAGATCCACTTTGATCCAAAAGGTTTATTTCCTGGAGGAAGATCAGCCAATTCCCAAGTATGATTACTTAAAATTGATTCGATCTCACTATTGACAGCTTCTTTCCAATAGATTGACTCAGATGACGACATAGCTGCTTTAAATGTTGGAGGCTCATTTTCAAGCAAAAATGCCACAAAATCTGGTCCGAAAGAAGTGGATTTCCGTTGGCGAGTACTACGCCTAGGATCTTCATTAGGTTGTGCATTTTCCTTTGATTCTTCCCGTGGTCGTTTAGATCTTTCACTTGTCGACTCACATTCAGTTTTATACGAATAAATGTGTTCAAAGAACTCAGCGTTATCTGACTCAATTACTGTATTCACATGAATTTCAGGATTATCAGATTTGTGAACCAAAAACCGGCAGGCCTTACTGTTCACAGCATATCCAATAAATACACAATCCACTGTTTTGGGTCCAATTTTCACCCTCTTAGGTAAAGGAACTTCTACCTTGGCAAGACACCCCCACACTTTGAAATATTTCAAGTTGGGTTTCCTTCCTTTCCACAACTCATATGGAATTGATTGCGTTTTGCTATGGGGTATCCTATTGAGTATCTTGTTAGCCGTAAGAATGGCTTCTCCCTATAGATTTCTTGGTGAACCAGAACTGATTATTAAGGCATTCATCATTTCCTTTAATGTTCTGTTCTTCCGTTCAGCCAATCCATTTGACTGCGGTGTATAGGGTGCAGTAGTTTGATGGATAATACCATATTCCAAACATATCTCAGCAAAAGGAGATTCGTATTCTCCACCCCTTTCACTTCGAATCATTTTTATCTTTAGATTCAATTGATTTTCCACTTCATTTTTGTATTGCTTAAATGCATCAATTGCTTCATCCTTACTATTAAGCAAGTATACATAACAAAATCGAGTGCAATCGTCAATAAAAGTTATAAAATACTTTTTCCCACCACGAGATGGTGTCGACTTCATATCGCATATATCTGTGTGAATTAAGTCTAAAGGTTTTGAATTTCTTTCAACAGACTTATAAGGATGTTTAACAAACTTACTTTCCACACAAATTTCGCATTTCGATTTATCGCATTTAAAATCAGGCAATACTTCTAAAGTATCCAATTTCCGCAAGGCTTTGTAATTTACATGTCCCAAACGGGCATGCCATAAATCATTTGACTCCAATAAGTAAACAGAAGCAGAATTCTTATTAATACTGTCAACAACTATTACATTCAGTTTGAAGAGGCCCTCAGTGAGGTAGCCTTTTCCTAAGAACATCTCATTCTTACTTATTACAGCTTTGTCACTAACTAGGACACACTTGAACCCGTTTTTAACGAGCAGTGCAGCAGAAACTAAATTCTTCCTAATAGTAGGAACGTGCAGAACGTTGTTCAGAGTCAACACCTTGCCGGATGTCATCTTCAACATTACTTTCCCAGTTCCTGCAATCCTTGCTGTTGCTGTGTTTCCCATGAACAAATCTTCATCAACCTCAGCAGAAGTGTATGTTGCAAAGGCTTCTTTCGCAGAGCAAATATGTCGAGTGGCACCTGAGTCGAGAAACCACTCCTTGGGATTTCCAACTAAGTTGCACTCTGAGATCATTGCACACAGGTCATCTGCATCTTCCATCTCTTCCACGATATTTGCTTGACTTTTGCCTTTGCCTTTGTCTTTGTCTTTGTCCTTTCTTGGAGCACGACAGTCAGAAGACTTGTGACCAGCCTTACCACAATTGTAACAGTTGCCCTTGAACTTTTTCTTGGCCTGTTCTGACTTCTGTCCGTTGGACTTCTTTCTCTTCTTGTCTTTGGTAGGAGCTTCTTCAACAATATTAACTCCAATTACTGTTGAACTCTTACGAGACTTCTTTTCGGCGATTTTGTTATCTTCCTCAATCTTGAGCCGAATCACAAGATCTTCAAGCTTCATTTCTTTACGTTTGTGCTTTAAATAATTCTTGAAGTCATTCCACGAAGGAGGTAACTTCTCGATCATTGCAGCCACTTGAAACGCTTCATTTACTACCATATCTTCAACAATCAGATCATGGAAAATAAGTTGAAGTTCCTGCACTTGTGATCCAACAGTTTTACTATCTGACATTTTATAGTCTAAAAACTTTGCGACCACAAATTTTTTCAAGCATGCATCTTCTGTCTTATATTTCTTCTCAAGTGCATCCCACAATTCTTTCGAAGTTGTCATTGCACTATAGACATTATATAAGTCATCTTCTAACGCACTCAAAATGTAGCCCTTACATAGGAAGTCTGCCTGTTTCCATGCTTCAATAATCATGAATTTTTCTCTGTCTGGCATTTCAGCAGAAGGCACTGGAGTTACTTCATTGGTAAATTTCTGCAGACCAAGAGTGGTAAGCCAGAAAAATACCCGTTGCTGCCATCCTTTGAAATTCACACCAGAGAATTTTCCCGATTTCTCTGCTGGTGGTACAGCAGTTCGGGTTGGTGCAGCAACAGCCACCGTAACATTGTCATTATCCATTTCAGAATCTGTAACAAACAGAAATTGATACAAATGACTCAGTAAGCAATAACTTAAGTTGCAAACTTAACAGGAGTATAAAACCACGAAGGTTTTTCTCTCCACCAGAAACACAGATTAAAAAGTATAAAAAATAATTTCCTTAAGATTGTTACTAATCTGTGTATATAAAAATCAGAATTACTGATTTCAATAAACTTTGTAGAAACACGAAGTAACCAAAGTTTAATAAACCAGTAAGAATAGATGAACAGAAATTAATTGACAAAACAAAAAATCTGTAATAAACGTACCACAATCTGGAAAAAACAGAATCAGAAAAAGATCAAGCCCACTGAATGCACAGTGTCCCCTTAAGGAAATTATTCCCCTCTAGTATCCGAGGTTTGATTTGGAATATGTCCTCCCAGGATAGAATGATCTCAATCACCAGTGTATTGATACCCAAAACGCTGGTGTCAGCGAATCACTCAACAGCAGTAAAGTACACGAAGAAATTTTGTGCAGAAGAAGAAGAAGAAATCAGAAAAATTCGTAAGGAATAAATCTGAAGAATCAATGTATTTATAGGCAAGAGGAACTGGTTCCGAAAGGTTGCAATCCTTTCAGAATCCACACGACCATTCATGAAAGTTTGCAACCTTTCAAACGGTCATGGCTGTTTCTGAAAGTTGCAACCTTTCAGAACAGTCACTGCGGGAAATTTAAATAAAACGGGAAAGATTTAAATAAAACGGGTCGCGCATGGATCCGAGTCGGGTCGGGTTAATTAACTAATTAATTGAATCGGTTAATTAACTAATTAAAACGTTGGCCATTTAATTTAATTTAATTAATTAAATAATTAATTAAAACAAACTTTGTCCAAAAAATAATCTCCAAATCCGAAGCCGAGCGACGACGACGGCGCGAGGGGGGTCCCTCTTTCCAACCCTTTTAACGATTAATAGGAGTGTTTCTATATTTAAACTCTCCTATTTTTCTTTCCACCACCGATGAGGGACAAATGTCTTTTCAATGTCTTTTCAATAAAGCATAAGAGGACTTTTCAAGTTCTCAACTTTTCAAGTTCCCAACTTTTTCCAAGTTCCTCTTTCATCTTCCCTCAATTTCCCATTAACTCTTGCTACATACCCAACAAAATGTTGTAAAAGCTTCAAGTTGCCAACAAAATCACCCCTAATTAGTTTGCTTTTAACACACATCAGCATAGCACAACAGATCCGCAATAGCATCTCCTGTAAATGAGACATGGAGTTGGATGAGAGAGTCTTATATATTAGATCAACCACGATGTCCATACATATAAACACACATTATATATTGTAGTCCAAATTGGTCGGAGAAGTACCTGAAGGCCAAAGGGATTGCTGAGAAGCGTATCCCAGATCCTTAAGATGTGATGCAAGCTAAACTCCTGAGTAAGGAGCAGAGTGATCCACCTAAATGCATAGAATTGTGGGTTAACCTGAAATCAAAACGTTAGCTAGGACGACTGATATATATGTGAACAATAACTTAGCTATTTATAGCTGTGCTTAAGAAATAGGTTCACATTCACCTTTGTTTTAAATTCAAGATGGTGCCACAATTCCTCATCATTAGTTTTCAATAACTCTGACAATTTCGAAAGAGTTGAGTGGATACCAAAAGAACCACAATCAAATTGTTGACAGAAGTGATCCACACAGCTACTCAACAGTATAACGAAACAGGAAAAAGTATCTGCTTCTAAATTTGCCTGCATAGCGGAGAAAAACAAATGAAGCTTCTACTATTTACGAAAGAGTTGGCGAAGGCATCAATATAAACTGTAAGTGCAAATTTGAGGAAGACACTAACAACATTATGCTCATCATTATCGGTGCTGAAGACATAGTACAACGGGGCCAAGACCTCATTCATGCCTTGTACATAACTAATTGCAGGATTTAATTTCGCAAACAAAAGAAGAATGTTTCTCATTGACTCCTGTAAAGCAAAACATAAATTCAAAAAGAAAAAAGTATCACAGACGAAAATGTTAATATTAGGAGTTGAGAGATATAAGTAAAATGTTACCTTATTCTTCCTAGATAGTGATGAGTCTCCTGAGAAGAACTCTAAATCTGGATGAGTTCGCTGCAAATCACGGTCTATCTGCTCTGAAATTTCTGTAAACTACAAACACCACATTTGCATTCATAAAAAAAGGTCTGATAAAAAAGGTTGCAGAAGAAACTCGCGGTGCAGTAGGTACTTGCCTCAAAGTACTGATGCCATATGCTAGTTTTACCTAAACTTAGTGGATGATCATCCTCTTTAGAAATGTTGTAGCGTTTAAAGGGCTCAATGACTCCGCTGCTAGTGTCGTGTCCAAGCAATGTCATGCTTCTATCTTTTCTCCATGACAATTCTGACTGGCTAGATTAAAGAGTTCTATGAACAAGCCATAACAAAGGGGACCAGCTAAGACCATAAGTTACAAGGTAATGCAGCTTACAGGTTTTCGTAGAAACTCCTCCTTTAGCTTGTCATATTTCAATCGACTCTCGTTTAACTCCTTCTCCCATAGATCTTGAGAAGTAGGTAAATATCCAAACAGTAGCTGCAATTTATAATCATGGAAAAACAGAGTTATTCAATTACAATTTCAACACATTTGGCGAAGAATATATAAAGCATATACTAATGCGATCAATTACGGTAATTAATAACCTTCCAAATTGTTGCTCGCAAACTCCCTCCATCAGGAATACCTGAACTGGCAAGTCGTTGCAACTTCTCCAAATTAATCTCCTTTCGAGAAATCTGTTTTACAAACAACATCAATAATCAAAGAATGCGACAATGAAGTAGTGATCACCTCTAAGCAAAGAGTGGAAACAATGAAAATTGTGATTAACTGTCTCACTTCATATTCAAGATCAGATCGTTTTTCATCATCGTTGCAGGCGTGCAATACAACTGATCCCAAATTCCTATTTTTATTTTGGGGAAAACTTATAAGCTCATCATCAAAGTCATAACATCGGTCCTTAATCATCTGTTTCAGAGCAAAATCGCGAGTCAGATCAAATGTCTGTAATTCTTCACCAGATTCAATTTCTTCATAATTACTTTCTTCTCTACCATGATGGAAGCCATTGATCACTAAACTTCCAATCCTTTCAGGAAATACTACTAATTTCCTCGGTTTTTCTGGAACGTTGAGCTTGCTAATTTTAGGCATCATTGTCTCGAAAGCACGAATGAATAGAGGAAAAAAGAGTTTCTGCTTCACTTCAGAAGAAAAAAAAAGATTTTCTTTTGAAGGATTTTGGTTTCCATCTTATTTTTCAGTGTTTTTCAGAGAGGGAGAGGAATGACAGTTAGCCGTTTGAATGGTAGGCGACTTCTTTTCATAAAAAAATAAAACCATAATAAGCTGAATTTTTCAAGTATGATAAAAAATTCTTTCATTTAAACAAGACAAATACATAAATATGTTTTTTTTAACTTTGTCTTATTTCACATTTTTGCTCTCGTATGTGTACATGAAGACACTTAAACTTGTATAAAGTTGAAAAAGTAGACACGTGAGTCCTATGTGGAACAATACACGTAGGACATCACATAAGATACAAATCATGTAGGATGTGACATATAATGTGTATATATCTATTTGCTTAATTTTATACAATTTTAAGTGTCTACTTGTGCACATGCAAAGTTAGATGTCATAAATGTGAGGTAAGGCCAAGTTAAAAAACATATTCACGTATTATGTCTTTAAAGTATTAAATTTTTCTTTTTAATAAAATAGAAAATATTTTCATTTCTCAATATTTTTGGAATTGAACAATGATATAATCATTGATTTTAAAGTTAAAATAGAGCAAAAGAGAAAATGCGTTGAATAACCATAAATCAAGTTCTTGTGAATTGGTGATGTATGCTAATGAGGAAGTCCCAACCGTTTGTAAGAATAATTTCAATAACGATTTACTATTGTTTTTCCTGTCGTTTTCTTTTCTAATTGTTTTCTCAATTTTGCTTTCAATGGTCAAATAGAGTTGCTGAAACTGTTCCGGTAAATTTGGTACCTCACGATTAAACAATGGAAAATGGCATATATAATTAAAAAATTAAAAATTATACTAATTATATGGTTTTGGAAGAGCCTGATTAAACCCAAACCCAAATTAATAGAAATTTTTCAAGTTTGCAACAAAAGCAAATGGAGTCAACGCCGGGAAAATTATACTTTGGAAAATCTCTGTTAGTTCCAAGTGTTCAAGAGCTTGCCAAACAACACCTAACCATTATTCCGGACAGGTATGTCCGCCCAGAGCAAGAAACTCCGGTCATATCCACCGGAGCTCGTATCCGCAAAGTGGACTTGTTTAGGAATTTGCCTTCAAATCTCAGGTGCCTATCTCCTTATAACTATACTTTTTATTAAAACTTGTATTTCTAACTTGGGCCGTGATCTTTGTTCTCCTTATCTATTAATATGTTTGTGAGTTTGAAATGTAGGGACATATTGGAAGCATACTGCAGAGAAATCAAGAGCCTAGCAACGATCATCGTATGTCAATTGGCAAAGGCTTTAAGGATGGATGAAGAAGAAACGCGAGATCTATTCAGTGAAGGTATGCAGTCAATGAGGATGAATAATTATCCGCCTTGTCCTGAGCCAGACAGGGTAATTGGCTTAAGCTCTCATTCTGATCCTGGTGTCCTCACCATCCTGAACGAAACTGAAGGTCTCCAAGTCCGAAAAGACGATATTTGGGTGCCCATAAAGCCCCTCCCAAACGCTTTGATTGTGAATGTTGGGGACATGATGGAGGTAAATATTCTACTATCATTGAAAATATTATGCGCGTAAATCATGTGTTATTTGACTTGCCAGATATTGAGCAATGGTGTGTATAGGAGCATTGAGCAATTGTAAACTCAAACGAAGAACGGCTCTCTGTTGCGACATTCTATTAACCTTGAATCCGAATTAGGACCTGCAAACAGCCTCACCGGACCACATAATCCTCCCATTTTCCGAAGAGTTTCCGTGCATAAATATTTACAAGACTTTTTTGCACGAAAACTTGACAGAAAGTCGAACCTTGATTTCATGAAGGTAGAGATGAGTGATGGAGAATCGTAGCATTTGATACACTTGTACAAGTTATTGTTTCAGTTGTAATTTGGAGTTTTTACGTCCTTATTTTTCTGTTATGTCATAGTCTCTAACTTACTGTGCCCTTGCCTCAATAAATATATGATAGTCTTTGATTGAATATAAAATTTGAAAAAAGTGATTTTTGAAATTTGTAGTTCAAAACAAGTTAGTAATAAATATTAATATACATATAAATTGTAAGAGTAAAATAAAAATTAAAAGTTAAGTAATTTCAGAATATAATGTTAATAGTATTATTTTTTTTAGACAACTTAAAAAAAAATATACCATCACATAAATTAGGATAAAATGGGCTATTTTGCATGCGGCTCATTAATTTTTACCTAATGATCTGAAAAGTCGTGCATATAGATTGATGAATGGTTATACAACGTTGATACTTATTACTACCTCGGTTATTTTTATTTGTCATTGTTTGAGTTGATACACATTAAGAAAATAATTATTGATATAAGTATTTTACCTCACTATTCTTGCCAATTAATATTTAGTATTTAATCTTGAAAAATGATATGGAGAATAGTATTTAATGCTAAGGGTAAAATATGAAGAAAAAAAATTATTTTTTCTTGATATGTCAAAAGTGACAGGTAAAAATCAAAATCTATTTTAGAAATAAGTGATGACAAGTAAAAGTGAACGGAGGGAGTACCTACAAGCTAAGTAGGAATGAATAGTCTTGTTGCCGTCCTACATATTTACCCACAATTAAAACGTTGTCAACGCACCAACAAGGGTTGTGGTGGAATAGTAAACATTCCTTCATCCTTAACTAAAGGTTTCGGGTTCGAGTCCCTCTAGAGTACGGAATCGTCTTTGTTAGGGAGCGTTTTATCCCATAATGTGGAACTTTTCTGTGCGAATCCTGATTTAGTCAGACTTCAATGTGGATACAGAATACTGGGTGGGAAACCAAATATAAAACGTAAGTACCATCAAGTTTTATTGACTACACACGTAATAATCTAATTAGATCCTCCTAGATCCATCATAAATAGTCTTGCGTCGTTGTCCTACATAATTACTACCAGTACTAATCAATAGTCTTGGGTCGTCCTACATATTTATCCAACAATAAATTAAAACGTTGTTAAGGCAACGCACCATAAAATCTTACGCAATAATTTTTTTATTTTGAATTTAAATAAAAGATGGTTAAATGTAGAACAAAAGTCAAAATTTAGGTTAAGTTCTACCCAAAAAATTAAGTTTTTTTTTTTCAAAAGCTGATATTTAATGCTACTATGTAGTTGTGGCATGGCTATTCACGACAAATCAGTATTTTTCCATTATAATGTCTCATTGGAAAATGTCAAGTAATTCACAAATATTTAAATTGAATCGAGAAAATCATAATAATAATATTTTAATATGAAATTTTTTTTAAAATCCCATTAAGTCAATGAGAATTTGAAATAATTTGGCTAGTGGTTATGTATGAAATTCCCCTTATAAATAATCTTTCTATCCTAGTTAACTATTTTGATTTACGGAAAAAAATAAAGTTGATGATGAAAGAAGCAAGGTCGAGAAAGCTAGGTGGCTCTTTGAAAGTTGCTAACGTTCAGGAGCTGGCAAAACAACAACTAGCAGGTGTTCCGCCACGATATATTCGTAATAATGACGAAAATCAATTATATAGTTCTTCCATATTATTGCCTCATCAATTAGCTCCAGTTATTGACATGAAAAAACTGCTGGAAATTAAAAACGATGATACGGAGCTTAACAGGTTTCATCTTGCTTGCAAAGAATGGGGATTTTTCCAGGTTTCATAGATCAAACACACACTCTTCATTTTTGTTTCATGTTCCATAACTTTTTCTCATACATACTAACCTCAGTATTTAATAAATTGTGCATGCAGTTGGTGAATCATGGAGTGAGTTCATCATTGATGGAGAAAGTGAAGACAGAAATCAGAGCATTTTTCGATCTACCAATGGAAGAGAAGAAGAAATTTGAGCAAGAAGATGGAGATGTCGAAGGATACGGGCAAGCCTTTGTTGTATCTGAAGAACAAAAGTTAGATTGGAGTGACATACTTTACATGATCACTCTCCCTACTCATTTGAGAAAACCTCACTTGTTTCCAAAGCTTCCCACCTCACTCAGGTACCATACATAATATATACTAACTGAGTTAAGTTTACGATAATGAATCTTTTTTTCTATAGAATATTTTTAAGTTGTTGGACCTTCAAGGGATGCATTGGAACAATACTCAACAGCACTGAAGGAGCTTGCTATGAAAATTCTGTACGTAATGGCAAGAGCTTTAGGGATGAAAGCAGAGGATATGAATGTGCTATTTGAAGAAGACGGGACACAAATGATGAGAATAAATTATTATCCTCCTTGTCCTCAACCAGAGCGAGTAATGGGGTTCTGCCATCACACTGATTCTATTGGTTTAACCATACTCCTTCAGGTTAATGAAACTGAAGGTCTTCAAATTAAGAAAGATAGAGCTTGGATTCCGGTTCCATATCGTCCTGATGCCTTTGTTGTTAACATTGGAGACATTTTAGAGGTGAGAAATAAGTATGTTTGGTATGAATTATGATACAAGTCAATTTGTAAAGCTCTGTCGTCAATTTTGTTTTTGCAGATTGTGACAAATGGAATTTACAAGAGCATTGAACATCGAGCCATCGTTAATAAGGACAAGGAGAGGATCTCCATTGCTACATTTCTGAGCCCTAAATTGAATGGAGATTTAGGTCCAGCAGCTAGCCTCCTCACTCCTCAATCCCCTGCACAATATAGGAGGATTGGAGTGGCCGATTATTTTAAAGGATTGTTTTCTCGAGAGCTCGTTGGAAAATCATACATAGATACTCTAAGGATTGGAAATGGATATGATGGGAGCAATTGATCAATGTTGCATTTGGATACCAACAGCTTGTTTAATAATTTGGATGGATTCTTCTTTTAAGAATATAATATTTGAATAAATTGTGTCGTCTGTTGTGATTAATAACATCCTCATTTTCTGATTTTAATGTATCTTATCATATAATGACCAAGAATTTTACCTAAATGTCCTCAATATTAGAGGGGCTAATCGCTTATCACTTTATATAACATGTTTAATTTTTAGGATTTTGATTACTCCATTTGTTTCAATTTAATTATGGGAGAAGTAGAAGTTAATTGATATGAAAAGATTGATCAACTCTAATGATTATGACTCCATGAGGAGTGTCATATTTTGATTAATAAATATTTAATATATTAGATATTTTGTACTAATATTTAATTTAACGTAGGAGTAAAATGATAATCTAACTTTGTATTTGGAGCTTTCCACTTTAGTAATATATGATATATGATGATATGATATGATGTGCTGTTTATTTTATTGAGAATAAAATGTTCTTTTGTTGTAGTATTATATTGGTATGAAGGAAATATAAAATTTGAGGCTACATTTTTTGAGCCCCAAATTGGATGGTGATTTAGGTCCAGCACCTAGTTTTCTCACTCCTCAATGCCCTGCACAATTTTGGAGGATTGGAGTTGCTGATTACAAACATATTCACTGTCCATCTTTAGTTTAAAATCAATTTAAGAGTATTATTTACCTGGTTAAATTCCATGTCAAATCATAACTAAACAATCAAATTAAAACTCAGGAATATATATGAAAAGTAAAATTGATTTTTTTGAAAGTACGAACCATCCTAGATTTTTAGTAGATCTTTCTAAGTTTTTAGTATTTATTATGTCTAAGAAGTGTGTAAATGTTCTAGACAATTCTATTTATAATAAATCATAATATAATCTACATCTTGTAGTAACTAGAACCATCTTACACAACTCCTAAATAGGAGTGAACTTAGTTATTTGTTATCATTCCAAAGAAAACATCTCAAGCCAATTCTAGTTTTTTCATTACGAAGTTCTCTAATCCAAAATCCTCCTTTATCCTTTTATAGTTTTTCTTCTTATTTATTTGAATCTTTCGATTCTAATTAAAGACCTTTGGGCTAATCGTAGGTTTTCATGATTATATTTAATTTTTCTTTTGTTATTCTCTACCGTAAGAAAGACTTCATTCTATGGAAGAAGCAAGGTCGAAAAAGCTAGCTGGCTAGCTCTTTGAAAGTTCCTAATTTGAAGGATTTATTTCTCGAGAGCTCGTTGGAAAATCATACATAGATACTCTAAAGATTGGAAATGGAGATCATGGGAGCAATTGATCAATCTTGCATTTTATTTTTGAGTGTCAGAATAGTCATTTTTTAATGTAAAATTGAAATTTGAACGAAAGTACCCTACTTAAAATATAGAATTAAGAACTATGAGCATTTGAACATTTATCGATTCAAACTCCATGGATGTGTTATTTATTTTCACTGTGTTGGCGTGAAAAATCTCCATTATTGCTACGTTGTCTCGTACCTGAATTCTAGAATAGTTAAATATTTTTATAGACTCGTGTTTAGTACATGGCGTGTTGCTGGTAAGAAGTGACATGTATTTTGTGAAATTTATCAAGTATGCTAAAGTTTGAAATGAACACCGCGCTCATAAAAAAAATATTAGTACTTTAATAGTTTTTGAATTGATGACTAATACTATTTGATAGTTGACATTAAAAATGGTCACTAATTTGCCGGTGCTATTCATAAATTTAATTCCAACTACTCATTTGTCACTCCTATCCACAATATATATGGTGATCTTCCGTTCTTATTGACCACACACGCAATATATATATATATATATATATATATATAGTTAGATCCCTCCAAGTCAATAAGTATAGGATAATCAATTTGGGACGATCATAAAATAGTTGAGGAAACAAGTGTTAATATATCAATATAGTATAGCCATGGAAACACGTACGGGAGAACAGCTACAAGTTAATTACAAGAAAGTTCCGTCTGTCCAGGAAATGGCCAAGAACAAACTTGTGACCATTCCATCGCGATATGTACGCGAAGATCAGGACCGTTCAAACGTTGCATCATCAAATAATAAGGAAGTTCCAGTTATTGATATGCAACGATTAATCAATGACTCCATGAATCTCGAGTTTAACAAGTTGCACTTTGCAGCCAAAGAATGGGGTTTCTTTCAGGTACTTTATCTATTTAATTACATGTTCGGTGAATAGTTTATCGTAGATGTTGTATTTCTGTTTAAAAATCTATAATTATATTTTGCAGTTGATTAATCACGGAGTTAATTCTTCATTGGTGGGGAAGATAAAAAACGAGATTAAAGAATTATTCAATCTTCCATTAGAAGAGAAGAAGAAATTTGAACAATCATCAGGGGAATTAGATGGATTTGGACAACACTTTGTTGTCTCTGATGAACAAAAGCTTGATTGGGCTGACCTCTTTTACTTGAAGACTGCACCTCCATACTTGCGGATGCCTATATTTTCCAAGCTTCCCCTTTCACTTAGGTACGTTATTTAACGTTCCTAATTATCAATCTACTAATCATCTATCATAATATTTAAAAATTTATTACAAAATTTTTGTTGACTTTTTTTTACACAAAGCAAGAAAGAATTTTTTAATATATATTTAAGAAAAATATAATGTTGACTTAGAATTGTGGGATTGTAAAAATCTTTTAGGAGAAAATATATGAAAGTAATTAATTTTTCAAATAACCATAGTCAGGGCTTTATTTTAATTAACTAAATCTTAGCCATTAAATTAATCATATGCCATGTGTCAGCAATCCAAATAGGAACTTGGAGAAAATGGAGATCAGGAGCCGAATCTGAAGTATTAGAATTTGAAATATGATTTGGGAATAAGTAATTAATATTAAAAATTAATAAGCAAATAAATAAAAATATATTTTCTTGATATATATTAAAAATGACAAGTTGAAACGAAAATCTATTTTTAAAACATACATAGTAAAAGTGAATAAAGAGAGTATTATCTAGAAAATATACACCCTTAATCCCATATTTTTGGACTTATTACTATGTAGAGAGACAATCGAAGAGTACTCAGAAGAAGTAAAGGAGCTAAGCATCAAACTTTTGAAAATGTTGGGTAAAGCTTTGGGGATTGATGAAGAAGAAGTGAAGAGTCTTTTCGAAGAAGGAATGCAATCAATGAGGATGAATTATTATCCACCATGTCCACAATCAGAAAAAGTGATGGGACTTACTCCTCATTCAGATGCAACAGGCCTTACAATACTTCTTCAAGTCAATGAAATTCAAGGTCTTCAAATTAAAAAAGACGGAATTTGGATTTCCATTTTACCTCTTCCTAGAGCTTTCATAGTCAATGTTGGAGATGTTTTTGAGGTACATACTTCTCTCATTCTCTTCTCTTTAAAAAATTAAAGTTAAATTATTATAAAATATAGGGAAAGGGGTTAAAAATGCTCTTAACGTATCTCAAATGGTTCAAAAATGCCCTCCTTTCATCTTTTGGTTTAAAAATGCCCTCAACGTTTTCTTAAGGTTTAAAATTGCCCTTTATTAACAACCCTAATGATGACTCATTTAATTAGCCAAGTGACTTTATCTTATTGGTCCACCTAATTTTTAAAATCCAGCCCAACGACCCGACCCATTTGTGCTACAAAAACTTAAACCCACCCAAAAATCCATTTTCATATTAACCTATCTTATCTTTGAGCTCCATTTTAGGACGACTCTCAACCTCTTTTGTAGCATCCAATGATGGCGATTGAGGGTTGCAAATCACAACACCTCTAGTTATGTTCTTCAGATAATACTTTTTTGTTTCTTCAATTTTTTACACAGTTGATTCCACTACTCTGCAACTTAGGTAATGTTTTGCTTTTTTAGGAGTTTGATTAGGAGTTTGTAGAGGTGGGTTTACAGCAGAATCTTGATATTGATCAGTTTCAGCTTTATGTTGAAATTATGAGATGTTTTTGCTTGAGAATTGTTGAAATTCAGGTCAATTATTGACTTTTGATGAGCTTTTCTGCTCTAGGTCGATTTGCTCCTAAGCTTTCAAGGCATTTTCTGAAGATATGTAGGGGGATTCTATTAAAGATGTCTGTAAATTGCAAATTGTTGGGCACGAATTAGAGCTTCTCTTCAAGTTTTAGGCTGAAGAAGGCAAGAGAGTCTTTGCTAGAACCAAATTGTGGGTGGAGATGGCAAATGAAGCTTTTGTTTTTATGGCTCATTTTCTTGGGAATTGGATTTTTTGGTTGGTCATTAACTTGAATGGTGTTGTTTATAGTTGGAAGCAGGAGGCTTCAGAACCAAAGGAAGATAAATCTTATTTTCTTCTTGAACGTTTCAATGTGGAACAAATTCAAGATTTAGCTAACCTTATTCTTTGTAGTTCTTCCTTTAACTGAGAACTGGAAAAAGAAGACGAACTGAAGGAGGTTGGAAGAAAGAAGAGAGTTAGAACAAATGGGAACAAAAGATCCAAAATTAATCGGTCATTCCGGGTCAGATTTGAAATGAATTTCTAGACTAAGTGGGTCATATATTTTGAAATAGATAAAGAAAATCCATGTCACAATTGTCATGTCATTGTGCTGTTAATAAAGGGCAATTTTAAACCTTAAAAAAACATTGAGGACATTTTTAAACCAAAAGGTGGAAGGAGGGCATTTTTGAACCATTTGAGATACGTTAAGGGCATTTTTAACCCTTTTCCCTAAAATATATAAAGGTGGATTTCTTTTTGCATAAATTAAATAGAAAATATTATCATAGAAATTGATACGGAGAGAACAATGGATGGAAAAATTCAATTTTCCCTACCTACTAATTTTACGTGAATATATATTTGACTGAGCACAAAATTTTAGAAAGAAAAAGACTATTTTGAACTTTTAAATCTCAAACGGTATCATGACATCTTTGTTATAAATCATGTTATGGAGAGTAAAATGATAAATTTAAGATTAATTTGTCTCCAAAAGCCGGAGGAAATTATCATTTTATAAGGACGAATTAAAAATAAAAGTATATCACTATTAAATATGTGAATTTGAATATTTCCTAATAAAAATATTACTTTTAAATAACTTTATTTTTGTTTCTTTTCTTTTAAAATCACTTTAAATAATAAATAAATAATACTAATAATTTTTTTTATTCTTAATTTCATGATATTATCAATTGAAATGGAATAAATATATATTTTTGCCTCAGTAAATAACAATAAGATCATTTTTTGGATTAAACTATTGGCAGCGAGAATATTTTGAGATCAAACTACTAATCGAAAACATTTTTATTCAATTTCAAGCATTTTTTACTATTTTCCATCTGTTTTAATTATAGTTTACTCTTTGAGCTTTATCTAAAGGTCTTAATTTTTTGCCAGATTTTCTCAAATGGAATTTACAAGAGCATAGAGCACAGATCAGTGGTGAGCTCAGAAAAAGAAAGGATTTCAATAGCAACATTTCATAATTCAAGATTGGATGGTGAATTAGGTCCAGCTAATAGCCTTATTGATGCTCATAATCCACCAAAATTCAAAAAAATTGATGCTACTGAATTTTATAAAGGATATCTCACACGTGAACTTGTTGGGAAATCATATGTGGACACCATGAGAATTAATTAGTAGTTGTATTATTGGTACCTACGTAAAATCCTTCGATTATGAAAGGATTAAAACAAAATAAATACCCCCCCCCCCCTTTCCCCCCCGCTTGATATAATATGTGATGAATAGATATAATTATAATATGCATTACATTGAAAATGCATAAGTTAAGGTAATTCCGACTTCAAATATATTATTGGCTAATTTGATCGGTAATTTGCATTTTTAGTATACATTTAATGAACAGACAACGACGACAACAACAATATCAAGCAGTTTTCTCTTTGTGCTAAAAGTTACTCTAATGATGGATCTTAGATTTTTTGTTTGATCAAGCTACCAAAAACTTCTTATTTTATAAAGTACTTTTGTTTAAAAAATAATTGAAAAAATACTTTTTGAGAGAAATATGGAGGTTGACAGACGAGATTGATGGTGACAACTGACGATTGATGATTGTGGCGGATGATTGTAATAACTGTGATGGTGATGAATAATTAGTGAAAATGGTTGGCAATATATAAAGTATTGGTGATGGTTGGTTTGGTGATAATGACCACTGATTATAGTTATTAGTGGTGGATGGGCATGTAATTGATAATAGTGGATGATAATTGTAAATAATGGCTAGTGACTATGATAACGACAACTGATTATAACGATCGACAATGATGATGGTTATTGGTGGTGGATCATGGCATGTAATTGATAATAGTGGATGACAATCTATATTCTATACAGGGGCGGCTCAACATAGTTGGGGGCCTAAAACGAAATTCCAATTCGAGGCCTAAAATATAAACAAATTTCGTATACACATTTATTCAAATTTTATATCTATAAGCAATAAGTTGACAAATCTATATATATAAAGGAGAATGTCAGACTTGCTTATGTGGCATGCCTCTAAGGCCACCATTCTTTTTTCTCTTTTTTTGGCCTTTTTTTTCTTATTTAAATTAGTTTATTACTTAGTTATATATTTACAAAGAACAAAATTCTTTATTACAAGAGAAATATGTTACTGGAGAGTTTAAAAGTTACAACTGTTACGGAAGACTTAGAGACGTGTTCCGTTATGAAAAACCAAAAAGTTTCTGCCGTATTTATCTTACCCTCATTCCGTTACTCTGACATCTTCTATTTATTCCTTCTTTTTGGTTGTCTTCTTCTTGTAGCTATGTCGTCCTTCCTCTAATCATTTCCTTGTCATTTCAATTCATGTTTTATATAAAAGGAGACTAAAGGGTGATTTCACTATATGAACAAAGTTGCTTTCATCGATGGTCACTTGATATCAATGATCAGTTTGTGGTAGTGAAATTTTTTCTTTATTGTATTGGAATTTCAAGTATATATATATATATTTTTTATTTATTTATTTTTTTTTATATTTTTTTTTGTATAATATGTAATAGTACCATATAATTAGTTACTGTACTAGATTTCTTTGACTTGTACGTAATTGTTGAACCATTTATTTTTTTGTTTTCACATTCGGTGTTCGAATTTGCATTGAAGCTCTGATTAAATCCAAATAGCACAGGATCCATTCGGGGGTATGGTGAAGCTCCTATAGAAACATATGCATCAGCTTTTCGAGTCTCTTTGTTTTTTATAAAATATTCAGAAGGTGAAGTTCATCGTTAATTTGATTTGTCTTTTAAGCTTGGCTAATAGTTTTTACTTCTCAATTTGAGTATGTGATAATATTGGATATGTCAAGTTTGCGTCAAAATGTTAGTTCTAAGTTGATTGAATCTCGACCCACTGCATAGGTAAAATGAGGCGTTATTGCACATATGTCATTGTTTATTTGTTATATTGTTCAAAAAATTTGTAAAATTATTGATCAATGAGATTATGACAATTTTCGAACTGTTTGATTCTTTTGGTGAGCCTGTATTTATTGAAAAGGAAATTGTTAAATCAATTTGATCTCAAAAATAAAACAAACTACTTAAACGGCATAACTATATTGATTGGTAATTTCCTTACATTTGTTATTAAAAATATGAAAGCATATATGATACTTAGGAGATGGATTTGGCTCATTTCCATTAAAATAATAATAATAATAATAAATCAAATCGATGCCCACAACAAGAGATTCAAGATGAGTTATACTTTTACTCACCCTTATTTATTTATATTCTTCTTATTTCTTCCTCACTTTTAAGTGAAACTATAATTTTTATGCTTAGTAGCATGGTAGTGCTGCTTTTGTGTATTTAAATTATACAAATTTCATTTTGTTGGTAGAAACAATTATTTTAAACTAAATGTAGGGATTAATGTTTTTTTATTATCTTTATTTACTTATTTGTGTTAGTTTTTGTATTTTTAATTTTTCATCTATTACGTTTATATTTTTTATATATAAAAAAGATTTTTTGTACGCAGACAAGTACACTAGAGAATGTGATGTGACATCTCTTTATGGCTTCCATTTTCATTTATATTTTCTCCTTTTTTCTTTATTTTTTTTCATTAAATAATTTGCTTATTAATAAAAAAAATTCAATCATATTTACTATTCTAATTATATCTTATAAGTTACAAAAAAAACCTCCATATATTTATCTTCTCTACTTAAATAACATGTCTCTTCAACTTCTTTTATAACTATTCTTATGGTTTATCAAATCTATAAATACCAATTATCTATGGAGATGTTCAATGTTCATTTTCATTTTCTCATTCTTTTTTTTTTAGTATAGTTTTTTCTCCTATTAAAAAAAATTATTCATCTTTTTCATCAATCATGTACTTAATAATGTTACGATATGACCTTCACTTTGATAAAGATGATAGATATATTCTTCAAAGATTCATGATAGAGATGTTTGGTATAAGTTCATCAAAATGAAGAAGCTAAGGAAGCTTAATTATCTTAGAAGATTCATCAAAAGAGATGCTCATATTAGTATAAAAGTTTGAATGGTTTTCAAACATTATGAAGATTTATTAATGTATTGTCCTGATTTCAATTAATATTAGTTTATTCTTTTTTTAAAAAATAAAATTTGATCAAATATATTAAATTTCCTTTTATTCAATAAAAATTAAATTATGAAACTCTACTAACCAACATATTAGAAAGTTCAAATAGCATTTATTATTAATTAACTTTGCTCTTCTTCTTATTATGCGAATGAATGAGATGAAAAGTATCACATTTTTGTTTTTGTGTGTATCTATTAGTCAATTTCTAATTAATATTCTAAAAAAAAAATCATGGTTGAAATGTATAATATTACCTATGGTACATTTTTCATAGGCCATAGCTATTGGATGTTGTTGCCCCTAAAAATATATGATATGGTCTATCATATTAGAAATCAATCACAAAATAAATAAATAAGTCGATCTTTTTAGTATTTTTAAAATTTTAATTAATAAGCAAATTATTTAATCAAAATAAATAAATAAGTCATCTTTTTAGTATTTTTAAAATTTTAATTAATAAGCAAATTATTTAATGAAAAGAAGGGAGAATTTTTTTTCATGTATGCGTACATATATAATAAAAAGTTATTTTATCCTATAATAATTGTACATATGTGATTAGTGTGTATTTAACCTATAATTATTTAAAGCAAAAATTTTCTATCTGAATTTTCCACATTAAAGAATGAGTTATCTTTTGAATAATTATTATCATATATTAAAAAAAATTTAGTGATGACTACAATAATAATTAGATTAATGTTATAAAACTCTTTCACTCCTCTAGTACATGTGTTAGGGACAAACATTGATCCAACTTTTGATATACTTTTCTATAACTTGACACTTCATGTACTCTAAAAAATTATATTTTGTCACTATGATAATCTTTATATAATCGAGTAGATAAGTAACAGGTCAAATTACTAATGACATCGACTTTTTATAAATATACATTTTATTTTATATTATGTGTTTCGATTCATTTATTTTCTGGTGCAAAGTATAATCTCTGATGTAATGTTGTATAATCAACTTAATTTCTTTTTCTTGAGATATTTTTTATGTTTTTCTTCTTTTTATCAGCCATGTTAAGCGGAAATTAAAGTTTGAAATTATCTTTGAATAGACAATATCAAGACCGTGACTTGATTTGTATTGTTTTTTTTTTATACACTTCTTATTGAAAAATAATCAATTAACAACATCAATTATTTTAAATATATATTTAATTTTGTGTGAAGCGCGAATGTGTACACTAGTATTGAATAAAGATAAGAGTTAAAACCATAGAATCTCATGAAGTTGATGACTTGATATACCTCAATTTAATATGCTTGTTGTAATGCTTGAAGCTAAAATTTAAAAACAAATAAAAAAGAATTTGTAATTCACTTTGTTCAACACTTTTCATTATTAATTCTTATTTTTAACAAAGTACTAAAGATGTTAAAGTGGGTAAAATAATATATTTTTAAAATATTATACTTTTAATCATAAATAATCAATTTTTTCTATAATTTTTTAACAAATAATTTATTCTTGATAAAAAAATTTAACAAATAATTTTTCTATTAGTGTCGTTTTTTTCTCATTCTTTCTTTCTAATAATGTAGTTTTTTTTTCTCTTTTAAAAAAAAATAAAAATTATTCTTCATCTTTTCCATAAGAAATCATAGAAAAGATAGTGATAGATATGCTCTTCGCTTTGATGAAGATCAAAGATATATTCTTCAAAGATTCATTATAAAGAGATGTTCACATTAATTTAGTACAAGATCATCAAAATGAAGAAGGATTAATTATGTTGAAAGATTCATCAAGAGAGATGATTATATTAGTATAAAGTTTGAATGTTTTCAATATTTTAAAGATTCATTAATGTATTGTTTTGATCTCAATATTCAAAAGTTTTTCCATGCTTGA